GTACCCTCTCCTTGCTACACCTCCAGGTACCGTCTCCAGCGGCGCACTCAGCACCATGTCCGGATGAAGTGTCCTCATGCACAAATCTAGCAGGACTATTTCTGCATGCAATATTGAGCTATAACACGGCGCCACCTAGAGGTGTCTGCTGGCGGAGCTCACAGAGCCCGAAACCAACAGAACCAGCATGCATTGTTTGACTGGGAGAACTGGAAGGACTGGGACAGGGACCAAAATGTGTCTCTGCATCCTGAGACCCCCTCAGGTTCTGTGGTCAGAGGACGGATGTAACCAGCTCCCTGGGTGGAAGCAAGCAGATCTGTGAAAGACAGAGTGTCCAGTGGGAGGTGAGACACCTGTCCTACGTTCTGCTGGACGGGTGAAAACCACCGTCCTGGAACAAACTCACTACAGCCTCTTCACTGACCCACCTTTTCCTGACCACCCCCACCTATAGAAAGGTATCTTGGTCCTCCTCAGATGAACCTCCCTGAAAGGTTCTGCTGCTCTGCTTCATCAGCTGGAGTCCTTCAGATCCCAGCGGTTCGACTCACACACCTGAATCCTGCTTCTCTGAGCAGGAAGTGATCGCATCGTCAGGAAGAAGAGGAGGGAGCTGATGTGGTGCCGGTCCAGTTAGGCCCAGGGCATCTAGACGTGGTCCTCATCTCCCAGCACAGTTTGAAGGTCCAGAGGGGAGGGGGGGGTGCAGGCTGGATGAGGTAAAGAACACGTGGCTCAGTGACAACAGGTCCAAATGAAAACGTCCTCAGAGGTTCTGCTGACTCGGCGGCTGCTGAGGATGAGGAGCTGGAGGAGGAGGAAGCAGCAGGTCAGCTGTCTCACGGTTGATCTGTGGCGGAGGTCACTCCAGGCCGAAGGTGCTGGTCTCCTCCACGGCGGTCAGCAGCTTCTCATAGAGCATGGAGAAGGATGGGTACGGCGGCAGGTCCAGACGATTGAAGCAGGTGTGAGCCCTGAGGAGGAACATCAGGAGATCAGCAAAGCTTGTTCTAGATAACCACTGCTGCTCTACATGGGGCGTTTCTAGGACACTTCTTTCAACCAACTCTATCATCTGAACTGATGAGGTTCCTCAGGGCTCCAGTCTGGGCCTCCTCAAAGGGACACTTTACTTCCTGAAATCGATGCCTGTGTTTATACCTTTAGCTAAGCTACGCTATAGCAGCTCCTGGTGAACTGCTCCTCTCTCCACTAACATCATCTCACCTGGGTAAGGACGTGATCTTTCCCCACTTTTCCACGCAGAATCTGCGCGGTCCATTACTTCCTCGTAAGGAAGCGAAACCTTCGTAGGGAATACTTGAGGTTCCCGTCACAAACTGCAAGAGACAGAAGAGCGGGAGAACCTTGGAGCACTTCCTGTGGTTCAGACAGCCATTCATTGTTAGAGCAGGTTCTACGTTATCTACGCTGACCCGGTTCAGGGATCCAAACTGTCTGGATCGTAATGCAACTGGACATTTCTGGCAGGAAGCGATTTGCTGCATCACAGCGCTGCTCCTCTGCCACTAGAGGGCAGCACCGCTCAGCCCACATGTCCTACCTGCAGCAGCCGCAGCCTCTGCTCGTTGTTGAATCTCTCCACAGCCGCCCAGAACCAGCGAATCACTATGTGGTTGTCATGGTAACCTGAGGGCATAGAGATGAGGAAGGTGCATGACTCAGAAGAAAAGAAGGCCTTCCTCCTCCTCCTCCTCCTCCTCCTCCTCCTCCTGTTTAATGTTTCATGGCCGGAGCCGTTTAGCGTCTCAGTCGATTGGTCTATTAAAAGAGGCTGACTGTGAGCCATGGCCCGCCGCCTCCTCTGACTGCAACCTTCCTGCTAAACGCTTCGGCCTCTGGGGGAAATTCATGGAGCTCCTTATGGAGAAAATGACAGTTTGATGGGATTACAGATGATAATCCTTCATTTGGCCTGAAGGAACATTTAGAGCGACTCGGCTGCAACCTTGGTTAGGTTTGTTAGCGACGCCTGATAGCCAAACGGATCCGGCCTGGACCCTCCATAGACCCCCCACACCCCCCCGGCTCCTTCTACCTCCTCTGTACTCCGTGTTGCTCCTCCAGTCTGCCAGGTCGATCTCTGCCGTTCCTGCGATCACCAGCTCCAGCTCGCGGGCATCGAACACCGACACCAGCCGCACATCCACCACCTGCAGACAGATGGCTGAAACGTTTAGAACAAACTGACAGGTTTCAGGAAGCTGCTGAGGGAACCATCGATGACGCTCCATTTCACATTAAGCTAGGATAAGGTCTCTAAATCTAACCTGGGCTTATTCCCAGCTTGTAGATTAAAATAAAAACATATTAAAATGAAACCAGGAAACGGAGACAGTGATGCTTTTATCTATTGTTAGATATTTATTAATATTTAAACAGCAGAAAATATCAAGCATAAATCCAGGAATGTGTCTCTCCTATTTCCAAAGATTAATAAAATCACTCAATTAAAAGTGTTTATCATCCATCTGGTCATTCAGTCTCCTCTTCTTTCCAGAAATGCTTTTTCATTTTTAGAATGTGGCTGCATTATTTGGCTCATAAATGAAATTAGTAATCAATCATCCTGTTTGTATTTTCTTCTTTAAGGCTGCTCATTTATGCCGTAATCAAAGAGAAAACACAGCAGACATTGCTTTTTCATTTCCCTGGTCTGCCAGCAGAATACTGTCCATAACTCCATAAATGAAAAAGCCTTCTGAGCGTCGGGGGGGTGGGGGGTGGGGCTGGGGGTTGGGCAGCAGAGTGACGTCAGCAGCTGATCTTCCTCAGGTACCTGCTGACCCATAGGTGCACGCTTCCTGGTATTTCCCGCCGCTTCCTGGTAATGGTGAACAGAGAGTTCTAGAGATTTTAGGGGGTAAACGGTGAGTTCTAGTGATTCTAGAAGGTAAACGGAGAGTTCTAGTGATCCTAGAAGGTGAACGGAGAGTTCTAGTGATGCTAGAAGGTGAACGGAGAGTTCTAGTGATTCTAGAAGGTGAACGGAGAGTTCTAGTGATTCTA